CCCTTTCTGTCCATGGAATGACATGCCGCTCATTTCTCCGGCTCCCCGACAGTCTGATGGTACAGCGGCTGGAGCGTCTGAGGCGGTTGACCTCGGCCCGAGGCCGCTGCGAATGCTCCATTTGCGGCCGCCAGTTCGAGTCCGGCTCCAGCCTGCCGGGTAGCAACGGAGCCGGCGGTGCCGAGGCCGGTGAGGCGTCGAGTCGGGCTCGGCCACGAGTGTCCGTGTGCCGAGATTGCGGACGCACCGTCTGTGCCAACTGTTGCTTCCGGCTCAGTCTCCTGTCCGGCTCCGTGTCGTCGTCCGACTCGGCCGGACTCAGACGCACCGACAGCGCGGCTTCGCAGATCGAGTCGCTTGATCCGCCCAACGGACTGACCGGACGTTGGCTCGTCGCTACGCCGTCCAGCTCCACTCGCCTCGGCGCATTGACGCAGAAACGGCGCTTCTTCTTCACTCTTCGGCCGTCGCAAGAGGCGACCGTCGAGACGTCCGAGACGACTGCGACCCCCACACGCCACAGAACCACCAGCGAGGCCGGTGCGTCTCGACGCTCTTCAGGCACCGCATACTCGCTGGCCGGACTGGCGATGAATTTGGGCGCCGGCGTCATGAGTCGCCTCTCCTCGGCCTCGGCCTCGGCCTCTCCAACTCGACCAGCCCCCGACGCCTCGGCTCCGTGGAGTCCGGCCGAGGAACAGATCGCCCCGGCGACCGCTTTGCAAGGTCACTCGGGCGATGGCGAGGCGCCTAGCGACGGAGACGACGCACCCGGTGACAGAGGTCTGATTGTGCTCTGTCGCCTTTGCTGCGAGGCCCAAGAGGCGAGTCCACACTCCCAACCTCTTGGGAATTCAACTTTGTTTGCATCAACAACTTTGACATCTAAAGTCGTTTGATGATATTTGAAGACGGATGGTTGAGTCCTACTACTCACAAAGTTACTTAATTTCGAGATGAGTAGGTTTCAAGACTAACGATAATACTTATGTGAGAACTCGTCCGGAGTTTTCCTATTCATATCATTACTGTCGAAGACGCTACTTATGCTCGATGAAAGTAGTATGCAAAACTCATTAAGTTTTCAATAAGACTAGGTCACAAAAGTTGACGTAAGAACTGATATTTACTGATATTTTATGCTCACACAATTACATCCTGCCAGGTTAATTCGTTTCGATACAACTAGTAAGCCTAGATGGCTTAAAAAGATTAAACTACGAACGTTTGACTTTTCTACCCAACTCATCGCATTCTAATGGTAACTGAATTTGATACAAGTAGTTGTCAAACTATCATTCTAAAACTATAACCTAATAAGCCTAGTTCGCTTTAGGTGATTAAAGGACAAACAACTTACTTTTTCTATCTATATTTTCTATATACATATATACATACACACACACACATAT